CAAAAACCACAGGCTGGGTGACCATTTAGGAAAAGCGTTCACTTGTCAAAACAATATTTTAGTAAAGAGAGACCTGGACCCAAACTGATTTTTAAAAATTAAAACCACACACGAAGACCAGTCTTGATGATAACACTCCCCCGACGCGGGAAAGTTGAAATAACCTATTGAAATTTTCACGACTTCAAGGAGAAATTTATATCACAATAATCACCGAAACTTAACGCACATGAAGGTATAACTTTTAAATATATCCAGGAATTAAAACAGTCAAGAACACCACAAATTATTAAGAGGAGCACAGAAGGCTGCCTGTTGGCGCGATTATCCCTCACTCACTTCTGCTACTGTTATTACTGCTACTATTGTTACTGCTACTGTTGTTATTGGAGTTGATTTCACTCTCCTGGTCAGTGAGACGAAGCCAGTTCCATTGAACAAAGTTACTTTCAGAGTCGGGCCGACACGATACGAGGCTGACCGTGGTGGGAATTATAAGACAAATTGGCACAAGTCATTGTGCAAAAGCTGGAGAGTCTACGTTCGTTAGTGGATGAAACCATGACAGTACGTTGCGCCACGAATTTTTGATCGCACTATAAGTGAACTAAGAGAGAATAGGTAATTCAATTTCTTATATTGTGCGTGTAAGTCGTACTAAGACGCAAATCAAAACAAACAAAAAATTAAACCTGGATTCGGCTTGTGTGAACAAAGCTTCATAAGAAACTGTGTCAAACTAGCTTGCTTCATGGCATGAGTCAGATCAGCTGTAACAAGTGTAACAACAAGACGTGCAGTGTCGATTGAAACATTTTGACTGAAGCGTCGAATTGGGAAAGAGGTAAGCTTTAATTTCTTAAGAACATTTGACCACTAACACTGGCCAGATTGGAAACGTGGCAAAATGGTTAGAGAGAGAGGGAGAGAGAGAGAGAGAGAGAGAGAGAGAGAGAGAGAGAGAGAGAGAGGGGGGGGAGGCGGGAGAGACTAGAGCTTTGTGTGATTGACGAAACCGGATGAAGCTGGAATAACGAGCAATTTTATCTCTATTGTTTGCCAAACCATACGTTTTTAAAACTGAAATAGCGAGCAATGTTACCTCTATTGTTTACCAAACTATACATTTTCTAACACTGGAATAGCGAGTGGTTCCTGAGAAGAGGCATGATTATTTATTAATTTTAGAAAGGATAACCGATACTATTATACATATTTCTCTCTGGGTTTGACAGGCTTGAGACTGTCATCATAGATCTATATCCCATCATGAAGTATCTCCAAACTGTTGTTTGATAAAAAATATTTTAAAAAGTCTTTGTCTTATCAGAATCGACAGCCGTCAGCTATGACACCTGTCTTCCCTTTCCTCATTATGACAAACTCCTCCATGGCTCTGGACAGAGATAGTCAAGACGCACAGAACCAAACACAAACCGATATACTAACACACAACCTATACAGTGATTTAAAATCTCCTTCAGTGTATTGTGACTCATTGCCGCGAGAAGCCTCGTTTAGGAATTTATTTTTAATTTTTTTTTTTACGATTCTTGTTTTTGACACGTCTTGGGGAAAACAGCAACGTATAATATGACTCATGAGACCTTGAACTTCACAACAGACAGTCTTTTACACGATGATTATAATTTCATGTTGTTCTAGATGTGTGGTCCTTTCCCTTCCCACCCTCACCCCCGCCGCTCCCACCTCTGTATGTTTGTCTGTCTGCCTGTCTGTCTGTCGGTCCGTCTGTCTGTCTCTCTCTGTCTGTTTGTCTGTCTGTCTGTTTGTCTGTCTGTCTGTCTGTTTGTCAGTCTCTCTCTCTCTCTCTCTCTCTCTCTCTCTATCTCTCTCTCTCTGTGTCTCTCTCTCTCATT